CAGAAGAAAAACCGACTTCATTTTTCATCTCTCTCTCTCTCTCTCTCTCTCTCTCTCTCTCTCTCCCGCCTTCTCCCTCTCTCTCTCTCTCTCTCTCTGTGCACAGCTAATGGCAAAATGTGAGGTGAGCTCACCAGCCGTCCCCCGATGGTACGCACACCACCACACAGTTACAGTCCATCAATAAAAAAAGAAGCAAAAGCTGCAAGAAAGCAAGCAAAACATTAATTAGTACCCCATTGAGAGTATTGATGGATGATTTTCTAATCTTTTTTTTCCAAAGTTTCAAGTTTATAAAACTTTATATAATGAATGACATTGAAAATGTTATCATATCATGTGCCTAAATGCCCTAGTATAGCGAACAACAACGCTATTTGAGACTCTCCTCTTTTTCCTAATTCAGAGTTCTGACGTGCGGGTCACTTTTTCCTTTCTTTCTTTCTTCCTTCCTTCCTTCCTTCCTTCCTTCCTTCCTTCCTTCCTTCCTTCATTTCTATTTAATTAATTACTCTGACATGTGGGTTTCTTTTTTGAAGCCCCCCCCCCCCCCCCTTTTTTTCTTTCGTCTGAAATTACATTCATCTTTAGCTCACAATATCTAATCTTAAGATCAATGCACGTGATTAGAACATGGACGAAGGCAAGTCGTCGTCTCCGACGCTGAACTTTGAAGATATATCCTAATCTCACCAGCAAGGTCCAGCAGAGGACTCTATCTTGGATTGTGGATTGTGGATTGTGGAGAAGCGTAAAGTGTCCCACCGACTGATTTGCTCAGAGCTGGCTACACGAACGACAATCTCAAGATTCTCAACCACCAACGTAGATCATACAGAGCTATCCTGCAAACAACCCTTTACTCTTAGAGTAAGAAAAGAGGGGGGGAATCACAAAATGGAGAACTGGAGTTGCAGGTAGATACATCCAGGAAAGTCCAAGTGTCAGTGTGTACTTTGTCATTATAAATGCGGCAAAAAAAAAAAAAAATGCCGTTAACGCCATATTCAAAAAAATGCAAAGTTTCGAATACGACCTTGACGGTTTGTTTGGACTTTGGAGGGGGAAAAACCAAAAAAGGAAAACCAGCCAAGTGTGAAACCAACTAAGACTGACAAAGCCATTGCTGACTTGAGAATCCAGGGTTGCCAGATACAATGAACGGCAGGACTCGAAAAATATAAGAACCCATAATGAAAAATGTTATAAAAAATTAAAAATGTTATAAAAATGTGGACTAGAAACGTGGGGGAAAAAAGCAGAACAAAGAAACGTGGTAATCAAAACCTGAGAGTCATATCTCTGTACATCTTTCCCCTCTGTGATGGCACCATAGATTCAAAACCCACAACGGTATGGCCAAGTCACCCCACTGGATCTAGCAAGCTACAACATCGAAAGAAAAAAACTTGAAACAAGTCACGAAAAGAAAAACAACGCCTACAAATTACGTAAATATCTCTGGACTTCAAACCTAAACACAGCACAGCATGCCACCCACATCTCAGCATTCTCTCTCTCTCTCTCTCTCTCTCTCTCTCTCTCTCTCTCTCTCTCTCTCCATCTATCTAATCTATCTGAATTTATCTGTCCATCAATCTATCTGTTTGTCTATCTATCTGTCTATCTGTCTATCTGTCTGTCTGTCTATCTATCTATCTATCTATCTATCTATCTACCTATCTAGCCTGAACCTGAAACTGATTCAGGTAAGATAACAGGGCCCAGGCATACCTTCACAAACTTAACCTTCTATTCCCCTTTCACTCAATTGCTCCTCTCTCTCTCTCTCTCTCTCTCTCTCTCTCTCTCTCTCTCTCTCTCTCTCTCTCTCTCCTCCTTCTCTTCTGAACCTATGGCATGCAAGGGCAAATCTGCACCAAGCACACACTATGATGCACTTTGCTGACAACAAATCTGCCCCAAGAATCTTTTCCTGCCTTGGATTGATTGCTTCTCCTTCCCCCCCCCCCCCCCCTCTCCCCTTTCCGCCCCTCCCTGATCTATTCTGGTTCATTCTGCGGTGTGCTAGTCCCAGTCCCATGCGGTACAACCCATACCACTTAGAAGTCCGCGGCCCATTCTGGAGGAACCACATTTCGTCTTTCATTTTGGCCCTATCCCTTGGCCCAGGGCCCTCCTTGGCCTGCCGAACAAGAGGGAGGCACAACCCTGGCGGCCTACCGTCTTCCACTGAATAGAACGCATTTGGGCCAACTTTCAGTCTAGATACCGCCATAAAACCCGTACATTATGTTCTATTCGGGTGAAGACGGTAGGATCTGGCAGGATCAGTCTCCGAATCTGTTTGTTGCGCTCTACTGCCGCGTTGGAAAACGTCCAAGCTGTAGATATCTCGAAGCAGAAGAGAAGCACAAGGGAGACCTTGTGTCACGAGGGGGAGAGAGCATGACTATAGCGACAACCGATATGCTATGTTTAGCATAATGACCATAGCGGCAAACCGATATGCATACGTTTAGCATGAAATCGATCGTACTCTCCTCTTTTGAGTCAGTCGTTACGGGGTCTATGAATGCATTCACATTTATGGAACACATACTTACGGGGTCTATGAATGCGTTCGCATTTATGGAACGCATACTTAGGGGATAGCCACACCACTCCCGAATGTGCAAAATGAGAAGAGTGAACTTACCAGTAGAACATGGCCAGATGCAGCCGCCAGAACTTCGTCTTTATTCACATTTCAAGAGTGGTGTGGCGACGCCCTTAAGTGGATGCTGGCCAGTGGGCAACGATGCGCTCCGCAAATGGGGGTCATGCTCGGTGGTGGTCCTCTCTGCTATCGCTCCGACGCTCCCACAAGTCGACGATGAACAGGGCCGGTCAACGACGCCAAATGGTGCTAACAGACCGCACTTGCAAATAAATAAAATAGAAAAATATTAGTGCCGTAGACTCGCTGGAGTCGGTAGCAAATGTCCAACGTATCAAGACTGGAATATGTATGCGCAACGGCTAACGAATGTAGGTTATGAAGGAATCATCATCACACCAGCCTATCTCCTCCTACGAGGCTATGACCGATACTTTGCGGAGACAAGTTGGTCCGGTCCCTAATCTGCCAACCTGCCTGCCTCAACCTTGTCCGTCCCTAATCTGAGTCCGTCTTCAACCCGAACAGAACGCCCGGTCATTATGGCTGCATCTGGACAGACAGTTGGCCCAAATAGTAAATAGTAAATACGGCTATAATGACCGGGCGGCGGGCGTGTTATTCGGGTGAAGATGGAAGGAGGATTATTGTGTGTACCATGATTGTAGTCCGGGACGAGGAAAAGTCGTAGGGTCTCACCCCTAAAACATGTGGTGCTACCGCATTTTCCATCGTTCTATCGCATCTCATTTCCTTGACGATTGGTCCATTCTGAAGGTGTGACGATGAATGCGTAAGCTAGCCAATAAATGAAAGCAAACCCAAAAGCATAAAAAGAAAAAGCACGTATCGACACTCTATCGTGCTAGTTTTAGACCTCGCCAGTCTGTCATCATGACCTCGCTTTTTTAACTGCATCAGCTTTACATTATATCCACAACACAGCAAAAAAAAAAAAAAAAAAAAAAAAGGTCAAAAAACAACATTATATCCACAACACAATCCTACGGCTGTAGCGAGTTAAACCCAGCCAAGAGTTGCACACACAAAATGACAAAAAAAAAAAGAAAAAAAAAAGCACTGAACTGAGAGTCCCTGCAGGCATCTCATCGCTGCGCAGATCTCCTCACTGCAAAAGAGTTGTATTTATAACAACACAATACTGTTTTGAACTCTTTTCTCGCTTCCTCCCTCCCTCTGGAGCTCCCTCCCTCTCTCTCTCTCTCTCCCCCGTCTGTCTGTCGTGACCCTGATCACCATGTCGAATGGTCACGATGGACCATCTCCATCATCGTCAGCATAGCGCATCAACAGGATGCATCTCTCTCTCTCTCTCTCTCTCTCTCTCTCTCTCTCTCTCTCTCTCTCTCTCTCTCTGTGACACTCCTCAGGAGCTCACCAGGACACTTTGCAATGTGTTCTGTGGTGTCTGCCTATTATTAATCCTCTTCAGAAAACGTCCTGCTGCACTTCTGGAACACCCATTATGTGCATTCTGCACTCTTCAACCTCCAGGAGGAGGAGGTGGAGGAGGAGGAGGAGGAGGAATTGTCACGTTCTGAGCTGCTGCAGCTTTTCTGCGTATGCTTCTAACCCCCCGTTTGAGACCAACTTCCACAACTCACAGTATGTAAAACACAAGAGCGCAATCAAAATACACTTCAATAGTGTTTGGAGATCAGCGCGTTCGTTTCAGCGGGGGCGGCTGTCTCGTAACTTCATTCCCCATTCTTCAACTTTGATCAGGAGGAGGAATTGCCGCCTTCTGAGCTGCTACTACCATTCTGAGTAATTCTTCCAGACCCTGGTTGGAATCCCACTTTGTAATCCAATCTCTCCTCGCATCTAACATATTGTTCGTCCAGTCGGAATGAGAGCGCTTCATGTCCTCCACAATCTTATACATTTCGTTGAGAAGGGCCACGAGGTCCAAATCCGAGAAATTGAATCCTTCCCACTGACTCCCGAGCTCGTGATCCAGCCAGGAGTTGAACCGCTTCATTGCTAGCAAACGACTAGCCCATTCGTCATCGCCCCAAAACGTTTCGGCTGCCACTGTATTGTCCCTCTCTGTCTCTGTCTCTGTTTCATCTTTATCTTTCTCCGTCTCCTGCTCTACGTTGGCATCTTGCCCAGGACACAAATCAACCGCGTTTTGCCGGGTGCTTGCCGATGGTTCCTTCTCTGCTGTGCTGGCGTTCGCCGCGATGCGTTCCGTCTCAAGTTCGATGGCTGCTTCTGTTTCTTCGCAGATGTCGTTGTCGTGTTCGCGTTTTGGGGCTTCTGCCTTGGAATCATGCTCTCTCCGGCAGGAGGAACTCTCCGCTCTAACAACAGGATGACCGGCTTGCTCAGTACTGTCCCCGAAAAGAGAGAGCTCCTCGGTCGCTGTTGTCGGTGGCGGTGTTCTTGTTGTTCGTCTGTCAGAAATTGCAGTCTGGTGGTCATCTTTCAGTATGCCGGACTCGAACATCCAACCCATGTCAGAAACGACACCGTCTTCTTGGTGTCTCTCTGGGGCTTTTCCCCTGAAATCCGAGTTACAGATTGAGTCCGATTTCCACTCGACTCGTTTCCGTCTGCTCAGCTGCTGACAACCTTCTCCTTCTTTCTCCCTTTGTCTGCGCAGCTCTTCCGTCCTCCTCTCGGTCTGTCCCACCAAGTCGATAACACTGCCTCCGTTTCTCCCGAGCTTGTCGCTTTCCCTCCTGATGGCGGCGCCGACCCTCTGTGAATCCAAGGTAGGTCCTCTTGCTTCACTTGATTGATCCTGACCCTGTTCTTTTTCACTTTGCCTTTGTGACAGGTCGTCTGCTTTTCTCTTATTAACGAGCCGATCGGTTGGCGGGTCGGCAGCGGACCAGTCAAGGGCCGCCGACCGTCGGGGGGTGCAACCCTGCAGTAGAGGCCATGTATGGTGCTGTGCTTCCTCCATCACGTTCTCAATTCTTAGATGAGGTTGCTCACGTCTCCTTGCCGGCTTCTCCACGTGTATACAGGTTCCCTCGTCCTCGTCGGAGCTCTCCTTCCCCACACGTCTTGCCTCTGTGGCGATGTCGACTGCTGCATGCATCTCCCTCCAGAGAAGGCCATGCGCTTCGTCTTCAACTCGGCCGTCCTCGGGGTGCCGCTCTGCTGCTGACAATGTCTGTGTTTGAACGGTAGGATCTTCACCTTCATTGGCACCAGCCCCCAGACGAGCTGCCTCGCGGCATGTTGCAGTGGCTCGCAACTGTTGCACTCCTGTGCCGGGAACACCCTCAACCGTGTCCCCCCCATCTCTCAATACCCCAACCTCGAAAGACCATTGCATGTCTACACCACCTTCTGGCTTCCCCTGTGTCCTAGCTGCACCAAATAGTCGTGACGTCAACACATCTCCTTTCCCTTTACTTGACTTCTGAGGACCTGGTTCTCGCTCCCGCTGTTCTGACGAGTCTTCCGTCTGTCTAGTAAGCTCCAGGGTGTTTTGGCGACCTGCGTTTGCCGTCATCGTGGCCTTAGGAGGATCTGTGCGAGGTTGCTCGGTACTTGTCGTAGGCTGCCCTGGGTATAGGGTGTGTGAGTGTGACGCTCCGTCCTCCTCCTCCATCCCTCTGTTCCTTTTCAACCTTATCATTTCTTCTACCATTCCCGCCTCACGGCACAGCTCTCCTTCTGCCTCTGCCAGCCGGCGCAGCCCATCTGACAACAAATGCTGTTCTTTGTTTCCCCCATTGCCTTTCTCTCTCCCCTTCTTACCATTGCTCCTATCGTCCCCATCCTCCTGCGAGGCCTGCAAAGCTCCGTCCCGTTTCCTTAGCGACTGCCACCCCTGACCTCTCTCCCTTTGGGTCGGCAGCTGCTCTTGTTGCTTCCTTGCCGTGCTTGGCGCGCGCTGCTCGCTGTGCGTCTCTCCTCCTAGCGCTTTTGTTCGTCCATCAGCATCTCCATGCCGCTTCTCCTGACACCTCATCAACTGCTCTGACTGCACATCATCCCCAGCGTGCGGTTCCTGGTGGTGCGGAAGGCCGTCTGTCATCCACTTTATCCCGGTCTTTACTTGTGCTCTCTCAGCCTGATTCTGCGACCTCTCCGCTGCCTTTCCCTCCTCGAACAAGAGGTAGTTTCTGCCTTCCTCCTGGCAAAGGCCCTCCTCCATTTGTGCCTCTAGGCTCAGCATGCATTCCCTCGCTTCCTCTAGCTGCAGCTCCTCCTCTTCCTCTAACCACCTACACAACAGGTCCTCTCTCACTTCCTCCACCCCCTTCCACGATTCTCTCTCACACGCCATTATGATATTTGCTTGCTCCCTCTTCTCACCCTTCAGGCAAAGCTGGTCGTCCTTTTCTCTCTCCGGGGAAAGGTGACCTGCACTTTTTGCCTCTAGGTGCATGTTCTCCTCGTTCGTCGCATCTGGCCTTGGCTCGCCCTCTCTCATTGGCTTCAGTAGTAGCTCCTCCTCCTTCCAAACCTCCAGCCAAATCTGTGACTCCCTGGTCGAATCTTGCAGAATCTCCTCGCCTCTCTCGGTCTCCCATGGCAGATGCTCCATCTCAGCCTCCTCTAGCTCCAGCTGCCCCTCTCTCTTGCCCTCCAGCTTTGCCTGCTTCTCATCTTTGGACTCCGTCTCCAGCTGTTCCGGTTTCCTTGTGCCTGATAATCTCCCTCTTGCACTTTCCTGCAATAGGTGCAGCAGCTCAGCTCTCTCAACCCTAACACTTTGGTTCTCCTCTGTTGCATCCACCCTAGCCGTAAACTGATCCAGTATCTCAGCCTCTCGCTGCCGATGGAGCCGTTCCTCGCTCGTTGCCCTCAACTCAAGTGTCTCCTCTCTTCTGGACTTTGACTTTTTATTCTCCCTGAGAGGCGGCGGCGTACGCCGTTCCTTGTTTCTGCTGACGCCCAACCGCAGCTGCTGAACCCTCTCCGACTCTTGCTGCAACATTTCCAGTTTCTCAGCCTCTAGTTGCGCTCGCCTCTCTCTCTCTGCCTGCATGCGGACCTGCTTTGTCTTCAAATCGGCCTGCAGCCTAGCCCGCTCCTCCCGCTTGGACTGCATTCGGGCCTTCTCAGCTTGCATCTCCAACTTGAAGCGCAGGACCTCTTCTCTTTCGGCCTCAAGGCGCAGCTGTTCAGTCATCCTAAGGACCTCGAGCCTCATCGAGTCCTCTTTCTCAGCCTCAAGCCTAATCTGGTTCACTAACTCTGACTCCAGGCGCTGGAGCTCAAGCTTCCTCTTCGTGTCGAGCCGCAGCTGCCTAGCTCTTTGCTCGGCCTCCGTGCGGAACTGTTGAGCTCTCATCTCAGCTTCCAAACAAAGTTGATCCTCTCTCTCTGCCTCAAGCCTGAGCTCCTCAGCTTTCCTCTCGGCCTCGAGGCGCATCTCTCTGAGTTGGTTTGCTCTCCTCTCGGCCTCTAGCCGAAGATGATTTCCCCTTTCTGCCTCAAGCTGAAGCTGAGCTGCTTGCTCCTCCGCCTGCTTCCAGAGCTGCTCCTCTCTTTCAGCTTCCAGACGGAGCTGCTCTACTCGTCTTGCTGCAGCAAGCTGCAATTTCTCAGTCCTCATCTGAGCCTCAAGTCTCATCTGTTCCTTTCTGCTGGCTTCCAATTTCATCTCCTCCTCCATCTCAGCCTGCCGTCGCTGCTGCTCGGCCCTCTCAGCTGCCAGCAGCTGTTGCTTCTCTCGTTGTGCTGCCATCTGCCTCTCCTTGACTCTGCTCTCTGCGTCCTCCCGTAACTGCTTTGCTCTCTCAGCCTCCAGATGCATTTCCTCTGCTTTCTGTTCAGCAATGACCTGAAGCTGTTGCTGTTTCTCTACCTCCTGCCTCAGCATCTCAAACCTACGCTGAACCTCCTCGCGTAATTGCTCGACTCTTTGTTCTGCCTCTTTCCGTAGTTTCTCCTCTTTCTCCGCTGTGCGCTGAAGCTCCTTCGCTCTTGTGTCTGCCTCCATCCTGAGCTGTGCAGCTTTCCTCTCAGCCTCAAGCCGGAGTTCCTTGTCCCTTTCAGCCTCCAGGTGCAGCTGATTCACTCGCTTCTCTGCTTCGAACAGCAACTGCTTGCCGGCTCTCTCTACCTGCAGCCATGCATGCTCTTCTCTTTCCAGTGCGATTCCTAAATGCTCCACTTTCCTCTCGGCTTCTCTGCGCAGGTATTGCTTTTGGCATGCTTCCAATCTGAGCTGCTGCAGTCTTTTCTCGGCCTCCAAACGGAGCTTTTCGTCTCTTGCACCTGCAAGCTGCAACATCTCGACCCTCCTCTCTGCATCCTTCAGCAGCACCTCTGCTGCCTTCTCCGCCTCCAACCGCGCAACCTCCTGCTCTTCAGCTTCCCGACGCATCTGCTCTACCCTCTTCTCAGCTTCTCTCCTCAGTTGCTCCTGTCTCTGCGCCTCTGTCCTGAACTGTTCTGTTCTCCTCTCCGCCTCCAGTTTCATCCTGTCGTCTTTCTTAACCTCTTCTGACAGAAGCTCAACTCTCTTCTCTGCCTCCTGTAGGAGTTGTTCTGCTCTCCTCTCAGCCTCTACGCGTGCTTGCTCTTCTCTCTCAGCCTCCTGCACCAGCTCCTCTGCTCTCCTCTCCGCTTCCAACCTCAGCTGTCCCTCTCTTTCAGCATCAAGCTTCAGCTGCTCTGCCCTCCTTTCTGCCTGCAAACGCAGCTCCTCTGTTCTTCTCTTCAAATGCAACTGGGCCTGCTCCTCTCTCTCCGCGTCGAGAACTACTTGCTCCAGCCGTCTCTCCGCCTCTAGCCGTAGCTCCTGTGCCCTTTTCTTAGCCTTCAACTGCCTCTGCTGCTCTCGCTCTGCTTCCACAGCCAGCTCCGCCAGTCGTTTCTCAGCCTCCATCCGCAGTTCTTCTGCCCTTCTCTTTGCCTCCAGCTGCATCTGCTCCTCTTTCTCAGTGTTTTGGGTCATCTCCTCGAGTCGTCTCTCCGCCTCCAACCGTAGCTCCTCTGCCCTTTGTTTGGTCTCCAACTGCCTCCTCTCCTCTATCTCCGTGTCAAGCGCCACCTGTTGCAGGCGTCTTTCTGCCTCAAGGCGCAACTGCTGCGCTCTTAGCTTCGATTCCAGCTGGACCTGCTCCTCTCTCTCCACTTCTAGCCAGAGTTGCTGCTCTCTCTCTGTCGCCAGCGTCAGCTCTTCTATCCGTTTTTCAATTTCCGCCCGCAGCTTCTCTGCTTTCTTCTCTGCCTCCCGTCGCATCTGCTCATGTCTCTCAACCTCCAACCAAGCTTGATCCTCCTTCTCACCCTGCTGCAACCTTGGCGACTTCGCGTCCTTGTTTGCCGTTGCCTTACCTGAAGAATGATCCCATAGCTGATTCTCCATGCCCGTCTCTTCTCGCATCTTTACCCTGCTGCTCAATGGTGTTGTTTTCACCCACATTTGGTCCTGTCCTTTCATGTCAAACACCTTCTTCAAGTCCTTGCGAATCTTGGAATCGAAGTCCCTTCCTTTCTGCGAGTCGATTTTCGTAACGGATGGCAGAGATTGCTCCCTGCCGAGCTGCTCGGCTTTCTTCGAATTCACCTGCAATGCGCCTGTGTCGTCCGACTCCCAACGAAGACTTCTTGCCTTCACAGCCTCCAAAAGCAGCTGATCAGCCTTCTGTGCTCCGATATCAAGTAACGCGGAGGCAACGCGAACCTTGCTGGGACGATGCTCTGTCTTCTCTGGAGGCTGCCACATTTTGCTTGCCACGCCACCCTTACTACCACCCATGTGGACTGCCTTGCTCACCTTCTGCAGCAGTTTCTTAACCATTTTCAAATCCTCGTTCTCCACTAACTTCTGGGTTGCCTCTGCGGCATGCGCTTCCCCTTGTGATGCTTCTTTGAGGTCTGAGACCGGCATCGGTGCCTCACCCGCCTTCTTCTCCATGGAAACTCCCAACTCCCCTGGCTTCTGAGGCGCCACCACAAGATGTGTTGTCCCTTGCCATGCTCCTTTGAGGCTTGCAACCGGCTTTAATGCCTCAACTACCCCTTTCTTCTCCTTCCTCTCCTCTATGGTGGGTTCCCTCTTGGGTCCTCCTACCGGCACGTGCACGGATGATGCCTCTTCCGTTCGGCTCTTCTGCACTGTTGCTTGTTTTTGCAGCTGAGCTATTCTCATTGCTACTGTCGTGGATCGCACCTGTTTCGTCACGGGCACACTCTCTGGATTCCTTATGTCAGCATTTCTTTTGATGCTCCTTTCCCCTTGCGCTTCTAAAACGTGCATCTCTGGTTCCCCACTTACTACTGTGCCTGGGGCATTGCCATCACCGGAGATGCGTACCTCCTCCTCATCACCCTTTTCCCTCTCGTCCCTGTTCAAAACCTTTTGCTGTGTACTACGAAGCTCACTCACTGCCATCTCTTCCATCTCACTCTGTACTCGCTCGGTCCCACTCTGAAGCTGGTTGTCGCTGCTCTGATGAGCCTGCTCGCCCCCGTCTCCGGCAAAAGACTCCGGAAACAGGCGCCCTACATTCTTGCCTGGCTTTGCCCGCTTCTCCTCCCCGTTGCGAAGCATGAATGAGCCTTCCTCATCCTCCTTTCCAGGATGGGAAACTGCAGCAAGTACTGAGGATGGCCCTGCTGCTGGAGTCAGCGACCGTGTTTGCGCACTGCGAGCAATCCTCCCGACCTCATCTTCAGGTTCTTCACTGCTTCCCTCCTCCTTCGTATCGACCTTCTCTGCATTATCTTGTTTTGGCCGCAGGTCATCAAGCGGACTAACGTTTTGCATTTTTGAATTGGGTTGACGTCGGCGTCCAAGTGCCTTCACTCCATCTCGTATGACTGCCAAAGTCCGTTCAAGTTCATTGCTCTGTTCAGCGGCCTTCTCCCTTTCACGGCGGAGAAGCTCTTTCCTAATCAAGTCGCTGTGTAGCTTTGCAGCTTTTTCCACATCTTTTTGCCCTTGAGTCAACATCTGTGCTTCGCTTCTTTCTGCTTCGGCCCTCTCTGCCTCCCTTCTCGCCTCTTCAGCCATCTCGAACTGCCTTTTGAGGTCTGCTGCCTGCGCTGCTGCTCGTTTCATCCCATCTTCCTTTTCCAGCATCTCTATCCTCATATCCAGTGCCCTCAGCTCGCCAGACTTTTCAGCTTTCCGGCGCTCCTCCTCAGCCAGTTCCGTTCTCCTTCGCCGTGCCGAAAACTTCTCAAGTTGTTTCTGCAGCTCAGATGCTGCACCGCCACTCTCGACCGCCTCTGCCCTACCGCTATTTCGGGCTTTCAAGCTTGTCAAACTTGTGGCCTCGGTGCCGCGGAGTTGCTCAGCCTCTTCCCTCCTTCGCAATGTCTCTTCGGCTTTGCGTCGCTGCTCCCACAGGTTCTGAATTTCACGACGTCGCTCGGCAGCCTGTTCTGCATCTCGGCGGCGCTCTGCCGATCGTGCAGCCTTTCTCTCTCTTGCCGCAGTACGATCCTCGTCTCTTCGAAGAGAAGCCAGCTTCTGCGCTTCGCGCAGGTCTGCCAATTTCCGCACACTTTCTTCTTCCTTCTCGGCAGCCTGCTCGAGCTCTTGCCGCCTCTGGTCCTCAGGTTGGCCTTCTGTGTCAGCAACATCTGATCCAACAACCTGCTGCTGTCCCTTGTGTTTCCCCCAGCTACGCCCCAGTGTCTTCCCATATAGTTCATCGATTTTTGCACCGAGGTTCTTCCTTCCCCTTCCGCTTCCGCTTCCTTTTTCCTTCTTCTCATCGTCCGCCACTGTCAGGCTTGGTTCTGGAGACTTCCTAGGGACAGACTGTGGTCCCGACGACAAAACTTTGGGCCCAGAAGACCATCCCATCTTCTTTGCGGGACTCACCGTGGCAGGAGGGAGCTCTGTGGACTTTTCCGTTCCTGGACTTACCTTTACCACTGACCTGCTGTGCTGATCGGCACTACGCCCTGACCACTTCCCTTCCTTTATGGCAGCTAAGACAGACCAAGGCCGTCGTTCAGATGCATTCACTCGCGCTTTCCGCGCCCGAGCTTTCGCAAGCCCTGCCTCTGCCTTCGCTATTCTCTCCTGCAGTTGCTCCAGCCGCTTATCCTTCCATTTGAACCCCCCCTTCGAACCCTTCGAACCCTTCTCTTCGGTGTCCGTTCCAATGTCTCTGAACTCGTCTGTAATTCCCCACGCATTACCCGAACTCCTCCTTGGATCCACCGTTATGCTAGTTGCCGTTGCCAATTCGCCGCTGCTGCTTTCGCCACCGTCCCCACTCCATAAACGCCCACTCCCACTGCTGCTGCCGAGATCACTCCACCTCCCACTACCCTCTCTCCAGCTCTTGGACCTCATTCGTGCGCGTGCCAACGCAGCCTGTCGGATGCGCCTCCTCTGCCTTACCTCTACAGACTCAAACTGGTGCACCATGTCCACAACAGGCTCCTCCCCTCCCGACGCAATGATTGACATCGCTCTCTCTGCTTCTAATGCCCTGGCTCTTGCCCTAACAATCTGGCCCATGAACCACACCGCTCTTGGTGAGTACTTCCTGACAAAGTACCCTCTCACCACAGCCTGGATGAAGAGAAGACGAGTGAACAATGGATGAAACAACATTCGATTATTAAATGAGTGATCGCATCCATGAGATTGAATCAAAGAGGTCAAGCCGCTGGAAAAAAGGTAATCAACAAGATCTCTTGGGCAAGAGTGGATGAAAAAAAAAATTCCATGGTAAATCTGGGATCGATACAGTTGCAACGCACTAGCTGCTTTGGGGAAGCAAAATGATTCCTTCAGAGTTCAAACACTAGCTAAAAGGGTGTTTACGGTAACCGCAATCCCCCACAAGGGTTTTGTCGTGGCATCAACTTGCATGCTAAAAGAGGTGTCGGTGTGTCGCCTGAATTCGCTTCTGTCAAAACGAGCGCACAACAAAAGCTCACTGTAGTGAAGAAAACAACTTGGGAGGTTCCTTGTGCCCACGCAGTCCTTCAATGCACATAGTATGAGATTTCTGCAGTTCGCTGAAGATTTCAAGTTTGAGTTCGATCGCTATTTTTCCCGAGTGTCTGGGTGTTATGCCTGTGAACTAGCTTTTGTTCTTGCGCTGCGTGTTTTTGTGTCCCGGACCGGTCCCCCGGGAGGATTAGGTCTAGAGCACCGGTACAGGCTGATGTGCCCAGTGAGCGAGGGACGGGAGGCCGGGAGTCATGAAGACATCATTCGGTGTCATGAGAAGGCCGGCCGGCACATCCAACCGGCAGTTTGCTGCTCCGTCCTGAGGGTGAGTTAGGCAAGCTGTGTGTTGAAGAGGTGGATCTTGAGGGTGAGGACGATGACCTCCGTGGCTATGGAGTAGTAGTAGTCGAAGGGAGTAGGTCAAGTGCTACGAAAGTAGAGGAACGTCACGCCAGACTATAAAGAGAGGTAGGGGAAGAGAGAGTAGAAGTTAAGGGAGAGGGAGACATAGAGAACCGGCATGAGAGAGTAACTCTGTTCTTGCGCTGCGTGTTTTTTTTTGTGTCCCGGCCCCTTCAACCCGTTCATGGCTAGATCACCTAAGGGTTTCGTGTCGAATTGATTTACATCTATCTACAATTTCGTTACGCCTACACCTAAGGGTTTCCTCACCTTGCGGTATCAATTTACTCGCCGAGTCGCCGTTAAACTGTGATCCATTTGTGCCAGCCAGTCTTGTCTGAAGCGCTCGCACAACCCATTAACGCAACCCATTAACTGTGATCCATTTGTGCCCATTAACGTGACCCATTAACGTGACCCATTAACGTGACCCACTAACGTGACCCATTAGCACAACCCAGTTAAGCTGTGATCTAGATCACAGTTTAACGGCGGTATCAATTTACTCGCCGAGTCGTCGACCCATTAACGCCGTTAAACTGTGATCCATTTGTGCCAGCCAGTCTTGTCTGAAGCGCACGCATCTTACCACAATTCTTTTCAAGCGAGGGTTTGTAAATCCTGGTCTAGAATCTGAAGACAAAACTCTCGAGTCTCGACTCTCAACTGAATTCCAAGCAATTTTGCCGGAGTAATCCGATGGAAGATTTAAAATTTAAAAATTTAAAAATTAATTTATTTAAATTTTAAATGCATTCTACTCGAATTTTGAACTCCGTTCCTTTTTTCCCCCCCCCCAGTGTTACATAAATCCTAAGTTTCCATTCTGGAGACACAAGTCCAGTGGAACACATCAGAAGAAAATAAATTTATAAAAAGAACACACCCATGCCTCTCCCCACTATGGTTGGAAGATCCATGATCGTTAACATCCAAAAAAACTTAAAAAAAAAAAAAAAAAAAAACTGTTGAAATACACATCGCAGTTCGAATCCTGCTCAACTCAGGTCAGTAGATAAGTCTGAATATAACTGGGGCCGGTCAGTGTGAAGATGACGCCTGAAGGCTGTCGCCCTTTAGAAATAGAAAAAAAAGGAGAAAACTTCCAAAAAGGGCATATTCACACTGCGCTGCGCGTGACTGCGGGGGGCTACGTGACCAGGCTTAGCGTGTGAGTTTGCCCTGAGTTCATGCCCTCCTAAAAAGCCAGACGATTTGTCCTTGCACGTAACGATTTGCAGGTCTTCAGAAGATCGGAGTCTTCACTCTTTCTAAAACAGGCTACACGGTGCCCAACTGTGCATCTTTCTTCTTTTTTTGTTTCAAATTTCAAATAAGTTGAAATAACCAATCCTTATGTAACATTCATGACCATGTGGGAGGGGAAAAAAAAAAAAAAAAAAAAAAAAAAACATGTGGAAGTGGTTACCATCTATAATTCGCAGCAGGCCACTCACCTGCAACTTCTCAATCAGATACAATTGTCGTTCGTATGCTCTCCTTGCCTGCAATAATCCCACAGCGGACGCATGGGGTAAATGTGAGCATGACATGGAAGTCACAGGAGAAATCACAAAAGGCCCGGCAAATGCAATAAAAATATTAAAAATATTAAAAAATTAATAAAAGTCAGAAAATGTTAAACCACCAGTACAGTACCCAGCCATTTTTCTCCAATGCGGCACGCATACAGGTGCAAGTTTCTGGGGTTGGCCTACTGGGGCAAAATGGCTGGCGACGGCAGCCAAAAGAAGACCCACAGCGGTTCCCTTTTCTTTGGGCACATGCCGCGCAGGGCAATTCCAGGCCAGGATCGGCACACGAAGGGTGAAAAGTACTGTACTGGAGGACCGTGGGGGCTTAAAATAACCACATAAATAAAGAATCACAAAATGCGCACATGGTAGGTATTGTCCACCTGAGAAAGACCAAGTCCCAACACCTCCGCACCTAGACGAGTGGTAGTCCTACCCTGTTGCAGCCTAATTAATTTCATTTCATTTCCCTCCCTTGCCTCCCATCCCTCCCCTCCCTCCCTCCCTTCCTTCCCTCCCTTCCTTCCCTCCTTCCTTCCTTTCCCTCCACCTCCCTCTCTCCCTCCACCTCCCTCTCTCCCTCTCTCCCTCCTCCTCCCTTCCCACCTCCTTCCTCCCTTCCTTCACTGTTGGTTGGGTTGACTGTCTTCGTAAGCAAAATCCTGTATAGTCTGCTCCTATTGGTCGGTTCCTCCATTCGGTTGGTAGGCGTCAGTGGCTACCGTCTTCACCCGAATAGAACGCCCGATAATTATAGCTGTATCTGGAGCGGAAGTTGCCCCAAATACAGCTATAATGACCGTGCGTTCTATTCGGGTGAAGACTGTAGGATGGTGCTACCTTGCTCGAGGTTCTCACTGATATTCCCATGGCTGACAACGAGTCTATGTTTTCTTTTTTTTTTGATGGACATGCAACCTCAGGGCTTGGCTCCAGCATTCTATGCTGGACAGCAACATTTTTTGGTTCCTTTTCCACCTCCAAGAGTCTAGGTCATAATATCCTGACCTCCATACCCTTGCGTCTTTGTATTTTTTTTTTCTAAGAAAAGAAAGATTACATGAGCACATCAACCTGCTTCTCTCATGCGAACAAGAATAACAGCCATTCCAATCTCTTTTACTCCCCCTTTCTGCTGCTCTCTTGCTGTTGGTCTTTCCTCTTTCCACTACTATCTCACATGCTCCCTCATTCTCCAAGCAGGATGCCAGCGAACGAGCATGCCAGACATCTTTTTTGCCAGAAATCTGCTGCCTTTTTTCTCTTTTTTTTTCTAAAGAGACTTAACTTCTCCCCTGTTGTTGATATTTCGTTCTATCCTTTCTTTTTCTTCAAAAAAAAAAAAAAACAGAAAAAAACTTACCATGCATCTTCGCCATGAAGCTTGTATTCTGATTGCCGATTTGATCTTTCTCGCGTCTTGCTCCGAGGAAACCGTACGAAAAGAGGCCGTGCCTTCCGCCGCTTCCGTAATGTTCCTCCCCACCGCGTCCTTTGGTTGCATCCTTTGCCTGCTCTCTAATGTCACTGCTATGCTCTTAACCGTTTTCTCGTCGATGATTTCTGTCGTCTCACTTCTCCCGGCAAAAGGCACCTGCTCATCGCGTACCACATGTTGCATGTCCGTGTCCGTCCGTGCGTTCTGCACCCACCTTGCATCTGAAGTGACCCTCGGACTGTTGCCGCTGTTCTTTGCATGACCATCTTCTGACTTCTTCTTCCCCAGCTGTGGGTGAACCAGAGGGACGCCTCCCTCTACTACTGTTAAGAGCCTGGACGCCAGAGTTCTCACGACGTCCTTGACTGGACCAGATGCGGCCTTCTCTACATTCTCTTTTTCTCTCGCATCCTTCACCTCCCTTTTCCCTTCCTCCATCTCCAGTAGTAGTCCATCTGTTTCACTCAGTCCCTTCTCCTCTATCATGTTCTCATACTTCTCTGTCACCTTCATTCCCACTTCGTAATTCTCCTCCTCCTCCTCTCTCTCTTTCTCCGCTCTCTCTGTCTCCTTGATTCCCACTGCTTCCTTCTCCTCTCTGTCCATCTTCATCTTCATCCCCACCTCTCTTTTCGCCCTGTCTGTCTTATTAGCTTCCACCGCAGCGTTCATTTTTGGCCCATTTGTTTCACTCACTTCCTTCTCTTCCGCTTTTTCGTCACACGTTTCTGTGACGTTCACTTTCATTCGTTTCTTTTCCACCTTGTCCTTCTCCTTGACCTTCTCGTCGCATGTCTCCGTAACACTCACTGCCATTCCTTCTCTTTCCTCCTTGTCCCCTTTTTTCATCCTCACCTCTCTTTCTACCGCCTTTGTCTTAGCGTCTACCTCCTCCTTCATATCAGCCTCTGGCTTGAAGAAAATCTCTGTATCCTTTATGGCCTCTGTCCAAACCTGTGTAGCTAAAACATGCCCTAACTTCTTAGGCACTACTATCTCACCCCCCTCAGTGCCGGCCTTGATTTCATCGTCTGTTCTAGCTTTTGGTTTCATCTTCATGTCTGTGCCAGCGATCGTCTTTGTAACAACCTCAAGCTGTCCTGTCTTTGCCTCCGTCGGCAAATTCGCATGCGTGTCCATTGCATTGTGTAGCCCAGTACCGTCGTCAGACACATCCCTCTTAGTATTTGACTCCTTCTCAGTCTTCTCTGCATTTGAATCGTCGTCCTCTGTCTTGAAATGCATCGGAAGATCTGCCGCATCCCTCTTGGCATCCCTCTTGGCCTCGGCATCTGGATCCTTGGCCTCTGTCTTGAAATGCATCTGAAGATCCGTTACAGTCTCTCCTCCCTCCTCCCTCCCAACAGGCGTCATGGATGTCCACTTCGCCTCTTTTTGCTTGCTCTCCACCTTTGCCTCTCTCTCTTTTCTGTCTCTTTCTCTTTCTATCCTCCTCCTGTGAATGCCCTCTCTTTCCTTCTTTGCACGGGCATTTTCTTCATCAATCGAAACAACCCTTCTCTTCTCCCATGCCTTCACCGCTTTGACTAGTAGGGATTCTAGCAGTGATGGAACATCACCCGCTTCTTTCCCTTCGCCACGTCCAACCCAATCTTGACCTCTCACATAGTCGATCACTTCTGCCCGAGCCAAGCGATCAACATCTCCTTCTGCCTGTATTATCATGCCCTTGCCAGTGTTCCCCTCCTTTTCAACACGGACTAATGGTAGTGCGACCGTTTCCTCCTCGTGCAGAAGTTGCCCACATGGCAGTCGGTTGTCGGCGCCATCCAAGTCCACAGTCACCTTCGCCTTCATGCTTGATGCTGGAGCAGCCACAACTGTGTCCCTTGCCTCCACTTGTGCTGATCCGATAGCCAGCTGACGACTCTCAGACGAGCTATGCTCCTCATGCACCCCTGTAACAGATCCCTCAAGGACGACGGACTCCGGGATACCCTCGCAGCCATCACCTTTCAGACACCCTTCTTCCATCCCTTTCCCTGTGGCTGCAGAGTGGGCTGGACTTTCTGCTTCTGTGTGCCTTTTTTCGGGAGATTTGTCGGCACACTTTCCATCTTCTTGAGATCGCACTTGAGACTCGTCGTTCTCCTCGTTTGATACATTGCGCCCTGATTGTGATCTGCTTTCTCGGAATCGCAAGGATGTCGGGTCCGCAACGTTGCTGTCTTCTTCCAAGGCCATCATCACTTGCTGCTGTGATCCACTCTCTAATACCGACTGCACGATGCCCAGTTCCTCCTCTGGAACCGGAGCGGCTTCTAAGTCCGATTTCGGGGATGGCATTTGGGACGACAGCAAGTCCTGTGACCCTTGCATGCATTGGTCATCTTGCCTCGGGTGACCGCTGTTCTGGCACACACTGCTTTCCTCATAAAGCGATCCACCACTAGGCTGCCCATCCTCAGCAGCAGGCTCAGCAGTGGAGTTTCTGTCGTTGATCGAGGTCCTGTCCTCCACGGCCTTGTGCTCCAATCTCATCTCTGCTGCGCTTTCCATCGGACTTCGTACGGGCTTCTCCATGCCGACACCTTTCAGTACACTACTGGAATCGGGCTCGTTTTGGTAAACCCTTGCAGTAGTAGCGCTATCTGAAAAGGAATGCTCTGCTTTCGGGCCTGGTGAAGTCTTGTGTTCCCGTCCTGAGCTTTGCACAGTCTGCTCCTCTTCTGCTGGCTGCCTGCCTTCGCCTGGAAGTGCAGCATCTGCCATGTCCCTCCCAAGATTCTTCTTCAGGTCCTGGCCAAAGTCAACAACCTCCATCATCACAGAATGAACAATACTTGACGCTGCTCGCAAAACTGGGAGACGCTCCTTACCATCCTCCTTTTGCATGGACTCTTTAATCCCCTCCTCTTCTGCTGGCAGCCTGCCTTCGCCTGGAAGCACATCTGCCACATTCCTTTCAGCATTCTGCAGGGCCTGGCAAGAGTCAACAATCTCCACCGTCGGAGAACGAAAAATGCTTGCAGCTGCTTGCAAGACTCGAGGCGGCGCTGTAACGTCCTTTCGCACGGACTCTTGTCCCCTTACCTGGGCAGCGACATCCTCGTATTCCTCTAGCTTGAACAGCTCTCCGCTCTTTTCCTTTTCCTTGGCCTGCAAACAGCCATCAACCTTCTCCGTCTTCAAAGGCCCCAATATGTTTGCCACATCCTGCACGCCTGAAGGAGACACATCCAGCCCTTGTTGCTTTGTAAGGAAGGGCGGCTGATCCACGAGGACTGCCGATAGGAAGGGCGGCTGATCCACGAGGACTGCTGATAGGAAGGGCGGTTGATCCACGAGGACTGCTGATAACTGAGTGAGGTTATCACAGTCTTTCTCCTGAACCCGTGCGGGGTCCTGGTGGTGTGAGGAGTCCTGGGCCTGGTCTGCCACCGGAGGTTCACACATAAGCGTTGCATCTGACTCCGTCAGAGTCAGAAGGTGATCCCCATCCTTTCCAATAGTTTCCTGTATCTGTGTCAGCCAAGCCCCACTCTCATCATGGTTTTGACCCTGAGAACGGTGCGCCCTGTTCCTGCCCCCTTGTGAAGCATCGTCCACCTCCTGCTTCAAGAACCCTGAGAACAGTGCGCCCTGCTGCAGAGGTGGGGCTTCCATCGCATTTTCCTCAATCATGCGCTTTGGCCATGTATTCACGCATAGATCCTCATCAGCTTCTGGCAGGAGTTGAGAAGGACGTTGAGTGTCTTCCTCCTGCCAGTCCAGGAATTCCAAGATTATTGCCTCCTCCAAGTCCTGCAATGATGGGGAGTCAGTCATGTTGTTCCCAACAGTGTCACATGTCTCCGTAGGCAACCGCTGATCCTCGTCGTCTTGCAAAACAAACTGATCGACCTCCTCGACCTCCTCCATCGATGGCCACTCAACGCTCAGGGTCACCTCCTTCAAAGACAGAGAGTCCATCGCATCCTTTCCGACGAGGTCCGGGGTCTGTAGATGCGACCATTGCTCTTTTTCTGCACGCAAGAGCTCCCTTGACTCTTCGCTTGCACCCCCAGCCTGTGACAATTCCAGATCATTTCCTTCTTTGCCGACTTCTAGGGCTTCACCCTCTTCCTTTCTCAAAGGTAACTCTTCAAAACTCTCTCCCTCGGACGGTTCTCTGCCTTGCCAAGGCTCCAGCTGATCCTCCTCCTCGTCCATGGCACCTTCCAGAGTATCTCCTCGTTTACCAGATGGCACAGATATGGTATCTTCTTCCTCTCCAGGGAGTGCCTGTTCGGAGTGGCAGTGCTCTGCAAGCCCTCGTACCTTGGTTGGCGCAGTCATCATCAACTTGTTTGTTTCTGGCTCGATCGGGTCAAGTATCGGCCCAGATCTTCCCAACGAAATCAAGGCTGCATGATCCCTCTCTATCGGGTCACCTGCACTTATGTCTACCGAGGTATCAGCTTGGGGATCTATCTCCGTCCCATCTGATGGCTCCGGCTCGTCATCCTCCGCCACCTTTACTGCAAACGCTTCGCACTTCAGGAGATCATCTTGAACGCTTAGCTCAGGTTCTTTGGTTACGCAGCGCTCTTTTTCTTCCTGGACCTTCGGAGAGCTGGTTTCGGGACCTGGCTCCACAGAATGAACCCCGGTAACTACTTCTCCATCTGCCGTCTCTGCCAAGTCCACATTCTGTGATGAGTTCGCTGTTTCCGGATGACCCTTTGGTGGAACACTGGGACCACAAGAAGAAGTCTCCCAAGTCTCGTACTTGTTTTCTAATGCATGCTTCAGCGTACTCCTTGGCAGCTGTTCATCCCCATCCTCATTCTCAGGTGGAAATTTTGACACTTGTTTTTTTGCTGCTGCTTCGTTCTCAGCTTCAGCTTCCTCTACCGGACCAAGCGCTTGATCGTGGAGGTCGATTTCAAGGTTCTCGGGAACACTTTCTTTTACATTCTCCGCAAGCTCGACCATGTCCTCTTGACCGCCATAGAGGTCGTGGCCGGGCCCTGATGTCATCTCAGAAGGTTGATCATCACTGGGTTCTGCTGGTGCTGCCGATATGGTGCGCATAGAACCAGCCAAGTCCTGCTGTGCATTGGGGTCGTTGTAATCCCGCCCGAGCATTGCCCTTAATTGCTCCACAAGCATTTGCTCTTCGGAAAGTGACTTCTGCAGCGACTTGACTAGATTCCGCTCCTCATCCAGTGCCTTTTGCAACGACTGCACTAGCTGCTGTCCCATCTCAAGGGCCCGCAAAATAGATTCTTCAGTGAATTCCCAGTCCTCTGGCAGTGAAATCCCCCCACGAGAAGCCAGAGCACCCTTTGTTCCCCATTCCATCGTCCAACGTCGACCTCCTCCTCTGGCCTCACTTTCCCCTGCAGGCCTTGCGAACATCACTTTGTTCAGTGACATCGACGATGATCCTGCATCCTCTTTCCCCTTATGTCCTGAAGCGACTAGGCTGCTAGAGCTGCCCTCCACGTTGGCAGTGAAGACAGAAACCACATTACTGTCATGATTCTGGCCGTCTGAACCTTGATCCCTTGCAGCCTGATTTCCTCCCTCTGACACATGGACCGCTGACAGCAGAAACCGCTCAACATTGCACTCGTCGTTCAAACGCTGCGAGCGTTGGATGATGGAATACAGAGCATCCGATACGTCATTTTCTGCATCCACTGAATCCCATGCACCATCTTCCACGTTTTTTAATGCAGCAAGTTTGACATTTTTTGCTGAAGGCAATGGAGTATCGTCCGAGTTCTCCAAATTCGATGACGTATTTTTGGAGTTCGGTGAGCAGGAAACAGGATTGAGAACGTCCTTCGCGTCGCTGCCGATCCCACAGCCTTTGGCGCTTGAAATTGTCGATGAGGAGAGCACAACAAAGCATTTGGACTGCGCAGCACCAGCATTTGTCCCATCATCCATCTCGAACGCAGTAACATGAGGCGAGGCTTTTGTAAGTTTTGTCTGATCACTTGTAAGTCCGCTGCCCTTCAAAATGTCAGCCGCCGAAAGCACAAAATGCTCAAGGCTGCTATAACTAGGCTGCAGTAGACTGGATTTGAAATGGGCAGTATCTTCTTCATCGTTATGAGAGCCAGATGCATTAGCATGTGCGGTCGCCGCCGACTGATCTGCAGACAAAAGAATGGCACCGACTTCCAAAGAAGTAGTGTGCTCAGAGGGAAGAACTGGGGTCTTCACCGGAGTACTAGTCTGTTCCTTCTCCACCACCTCCATAACATTTGATGCAGGCTTCTCCTCTTCTGGAGGAAGACGTCGATCATCTGGTACATCCATCGCATCGGTGCCCAACAACATAACACTATAGCCATTCAGATCTTCTTTTGAAATGGGATGTGATTGTCCCGAGATCTCTCCTCGGACCGAACGGTCCTTGCCGGCCTCTCTTCGCCTTTCCAGATTGCCATGCTTGTAAGGCAAAGGACTTGCAGTAACATGCATTGAAGCAGACACGTTAGAGCCCTCCTCTCGACTGCTTATGCAGTCGACAGCATCAGCAAAACGCGGCGAAGGAGTTGGGCCTCCGGTGTCAGCGAGGGAACCCTGCCTTCCATCTGGCAGAAGAACCGAGTCCTCCATCCGATCCGAGAAGCTGGCCTTTAGCTCGACCATGCGACTTCGCAACGAAACAACCGATACCTCTTTGTCATCCGCTGGAGAAAGCCCTTCTTCACAGTGTTTCATTGACACCCCTTGAGGTTCCCCATTTGACAAGGACTGTCCACCACCATTTGGTAAGGATTGTCCACCAACGTCTCCCGCCTTCTGCATGCGAGGGACTGATAAACTACTCTCTACTGGGAGTGAACGAACGCCTGTCTCGGATATGGTATCCTCCTGCCTCCTAAGTATAAGACTCTGGGTTGCCACACTCCTCTCTCCTCCTAGTAAGAGGTTACCTTTCTCACTTGAAACTGCAGCGTTGTCTCCGAACGAGCTTGCTTGAGTCACCATCACATCTACAACATCCTTTTCCACCTTTCCTTCAGGCATAAGAACTGATGTCTCCCACACCGTCGCCCTCTCCCTGCTGCCAATGCCCCTGTGCATTGCCTGGTCACCAGAGGGCCCGTTGTCCCCGCTTACACAATCTGCTATGAGAGTGCGCCTGCCTTGATCTGTCACAGAGGAAGTGAAAAATGAAGTTTGCATACTACCTTCGCCCACTGAGCGTAGCACTACATTCTCTTCAAAAACAGGCTGCAGGTCCACCTCCGTTGCAGCTTTTCTCTTTTGTAGTAGCACACTCGATAGGTGTTGCTCCTCTCCTTCAAAGGAGCTTCTGTTCTCTCCAGTCTCCATAGGCACTAGCTCCATGGTCCCCTTCTGGGGATCGACTACAGCTGATTTTGGCAGCACTGAGATGTCCTCATGAACCACGAAACCGCTATTCATCGCCATAAGCCTAATGGAATCGCACGAGCTTGTCATGGCCTTAGAGGCCTTGTCAACGGCACCAACTGATTCATGACTGTGAACATGAACCTGAACCTGAACATCAGGGGCACCGGTAGCGTCACCTTGCACCTCCCCAGATATAGTCGGAACATGTGCATCACTCCTCGTAGTCGCTGTGACCTGTAGCAAGCTGAAGTTAGAACCATCATCACAGTTTGGAGGGGCACCAGTGGTCACACAACTCTCATCCTCTGCAGGTAACACATGAGACCGAGCATCCTCTTCGCCACCGCTAAACCCAGGTCCCTTATCATCTCCTAACAAGGCTGTTGCATCAACACAAGCAACTGGAATGTACACATCTGTCTCACCTCCACCCCTGAGACAGGCAAACTCTTGGACCATCTCCTCCGTCATGGTGCCATCCTCGTTAGCGGGAACGTTCCATCTCTCTATTTCCATTGATTCCTCGCAACGTGGTGGTTCTGGTCCAGGCACTAAGCACTTCTGTTCATGCTCCGCATGGACAGTGCCACGGTCCTCTTTCTTGGTAGCCGTTGGCACAGACCGGATGCTCCCCTTCCCTCCCTTCCCTCCTGAAAGTAGTGGCCCATCATAGCCTTTATCATCATCATCCTCTTCCACCCTGGCCACACACGCTCTGTCATCAGGAGTCTCTGAGTTCATACCATCACGTTCAGAATCCGGGACATGCAATGGAGCAGCCAAGGTCATGATCAGACCTGACGTTTCCGTCCTCTCCCCACTATCCCTGGCAAACTGGCCTCTCAGATCAACCAACTGTTCCCCGCTCTCGACAAGAGCCAGCTGAGATACCACATGTCCATCCGCTTCGTCCCACAGATCAACCTCAGCCTTGTTCTCCTCTAGCGTATCGGAACCCTTCTTCTGTTGCCCTTCGCTTGCGAGACTCTGTCGAGATAACGGCTTGGCAGGTTCAGGAGACGGCTCCCTCCAAGATTCATAAGAGTCGCTTAAGCCCATAATAAAGGGAGTGGTGTTGGCATGGTCAATTGGAGGAGTACCATTCTCCTCAAAGTTCATTCTCCTTTCTGAACTTGGAAATAATAGCGGTGAGAACGTTCCCACTGCATCGGCAAAAGGACGACCTGAGCAATTTGAACGTAGCAGGCCATCGTAATCCACTAAAACCGCGGGAGCATTCTCCCGCACCAGTTGAGTCCCTGTCATGGAAGGAGCTCCCTGTTCAGATGAGACGATCACTCTCTCCACCACCTCCCCCTCCGCCTCCAGTTGCACTGCTCTGCTTTCGCCCAATTCCAGAGGAAGCACACTGTGTTCTGGCATCAGGCTTGCGCTTCTGGCATCAACCCCTGCATGTTGCCCATCTAGGAGAATTGTCCAGGTCTCCATGTAGTTGTCATGTACAAGTGGAATGGAGAGGCAGCTTAGTTCCCCCCACTGACTCTCTTGCCTTCCCTCAGAAAAAACTGGCTCTGGACACACAAAATCATCATTCTCTGAAGAGAGAACCACACTGTCACTCTTCCGTGGAATTGCTGTAAAGGTCTCTGAAGCACGAGTGTCCAAGGAAAGCCATAGACTGGTTCCTGATGGCCCTGCAAACTTCTCCTTCATTGAAACGCACTGATCCTCCACCTCGTTGTTCTTGTCCGCCTCCTCCTTCCCATCTTGCTGTTCCTTCTCCTCCTCCGTCTGTTGCTGCTGCTGCTGCAACTTGTCCTGTTTTTCCTCTGAAATATCCAGCATGTTGTACTCATCTTTTCGATCAGATAGCTCCTGCTCTTCTTGAGCATCTGCCATGGCCAGGGAACATGGGATCGTACCCTGGCCATGCATAGACTCTTTCTCCTTCTCACTGTCCTCATTGATGACCATGTCGCATTCTTCTGAATCTGGAAACATGGAGGGACCTTCTTGCCCATCATGCCAGGACTCAGAAACCTCCTCTCTCTCCCCACCCAAGGATAGCTCCAGAACGTCACCGTTGTGATTGACCAGAGGGATCTGGACCCTTTCCCATGCCGTTCCTACATCATTCTTTTCTTCTAACAAACATAGTCTCTTGATCGAGTTCTCTCTGGCTGACATATCAACCAGTTCATACAGTACAGACAGTGACTGCAAAGGCGTATCATTTCCAGCTCGAACATCTGCAGCATTGGCACAAACTTTGCTGATGATTGCAGGTGCCTCCGTCGGGATGTGTAAAGCTGTCTCATTATCATCCATAGATTCCACATGCAAATGTGAATGGCGGCCGAGATACTTCTGCTCCGTATCCGACGTAGATGTCTCTCGACAGTCCACTGCGGATTGACATAGGACATGACTATCGTCAGTTAAGGTCTGAGGTGATAAGCGGCGCGTTGCCTCTAAGACGACTGGAACCATTGTTCTGTCTTCGTCGGACTTCTCCTGCCTTGTCTGCTCAAAGTCCACATGCAGCGATAACCGGTGGGTTGTAGTCTTCCCTCTTACATCTTTTTCTGACGTCTGGTTTACTGATTGCTCGCTCGAGATTTCATGGTTGTCCCTATCTTGGCAGAAGTGACCACTGCATCCTAAGTCTCCCATCTGACAGCTGTGGAGCCTGACATCTGCCTCTTCTGCCCAAGGGCCCACAACTGCCGGAGGAATAGCAGTCTCTATTCCCAATTTTGTCCCAGCCAAAAGCCTATCATTATAACCTCTGATACACTCATTCTCTAAGAGTATGCTGCTATTGACTTCTGAAACGGCAGCAGCAATAGACTCTGCATGCAGTGAAGGACATTGCTGCAAATTAAGGTTAACATCTTCAAAAAGATAATCACTCAAACTAGCTGCACTGATCTTCTTCTTCTTCTTCGTCGTCACCCGCTTCTCTGCATCCATGGCTTTCACCTGAAACTCATCTGCACCGATCTTCTTCTTCTTTGTCGCTCGCTTATCTGCATCGATCGTCACCACCTGAAACGCGCTTGAAGTGGAGCTGCATGTGGAGCTGGATATGGAAGTCGAGACAGAGATGGACGTGCAGGTGAAGGTGGAAGAGGAGCTGGGTAGGGAAATAGACATGAGCCCTCTTCGAGCATCTTTTTCCCGTCCCAAACAGCGTGAATGACTACCCTTTCCCTCTCTCGACTCTCCTGTTGGGATGTCACAGATATCTTCGTCCGTCAGATTCTGAAGCAAAGCCACTGCGGATGATGTGTTCATGATAACCGGTGAGTGCCTGTCCAGAGCAGCTGTTCTCAGCGGAGGGGCTGTTGCAATGATGCACTCTTCCTCCTGACGGCGAGGAGGTGGAGGTGGTCCCCGCATTGCTGGTGGTCCCTGCATTGCTGACAGAGGCAGTACAATATCATAGTGAACCTCTCTCCATGGATGAATCGTTAGGTTCGAATCTGTGCTTAGATGACCAGCTTTCTGCACATCCTTGGGCAGAGCATTTCTCTGCGATGATGACGCCACACAAACTGTACCGTTCAGAGCTTGTGCAGCGGGATCGAGTTTTCCTATCGTTTCTCTTGGAGAGGACTTCTTCCTCCTCTCTTCCACCATGGTTTTCCTCAAAGAACCCTCCGCAGTGGCAACCCTCTCTTTCAAGGCTTCTCCCTCGTCCACGACATGATGCCCATCACCAACACTGAGTGCGGCTTCCTTTCCAGAGTAGCGAACGTCGCCCTTCTCAGCTCTCTGCGTATCAGAGGTTAAGTGGACAATGAACGGTAACTGCCATGGCTGGTCAGGATTGTACTCCTCCTCTGGCACATTACTTCGACAGTCGTCCTCTATTCTTCTCTTGTGACTTACGCACATTTCGGGAAGCTTTACCTCGGCGACAGCAGCACATTTCTTCTCCAAAGCCGTAACAGCAGGGCGTGCAGTGGCATCACGCCTCCACCTCTCCACTGTCGCAGAAGAATCCTGAGAGTCTGAGGCATTCATTTCCAGCTCCTCCCTCAGTGACAAGGGTAAGCACTCCTTAACCTCCTCCGCAGCTGAGTAACAACATTCTGAGTATGTGTCTCCTGCATCCCGAGCTTGAAGCTCAACGTACCCCTTCAACAGTGAGTAGTCCTCTACGACCTCATTCCCGTTGATAGACTTCCAGTCCTCCTGACATCTATTGATAACTACTCTCATTGATTCCGAACTGTTTAAAACTCCAGGAGCAGGCTTCTCTATCCCCCAGTCATTCATCCTCTCAATACTCTGTCTTGTGGTTGTTTCACTGGTTGACCCGTAAACAACACATGGTGGAAAATGGGACTCTATATTCAGTATCACTGAGCCACCGTCATCATCAGCATCAGCATCATCAGCATCATCATCTCCATCATCATTGATATCATGATCACCATCATGATCACCATAGCCACCCTCGTCAACACCACCATGATTACCGTCATCATCATCCTCGGTCAACTGGGACTGATATATCAGACTTCCCGTGCTGTCACAGTCTGGCTGTTTGGCAATCTGCAGTTGAACTTGTTTACTGTATCTGGTGCCTCCTTCCTCCATTTCCGATAGAGGAGGGAACACACAACAGGTAGCTGCCTCCTTTACCTTACTCTCCTCTTCTAGGTCCTCTCCTTCCTCCTCTTCCTCCTCCTTTTCTTCCTCCTCCTCCTTCAACTCTTTTTCCTCCTCCGCATCCACCGTCTCTTCTTCGCCGTCCTCCTCCTCCTCCGCTGCTGCTGCAAATAATGGAGAGAATGGAATCGTCGTTGTTCTTTCCTCTCCTCCTACCTCCTCTCTCCACCTGCCTAAACTTGAACCAGCATATAAATTTGCTGAATCAGCCTTCCAGCTGATTACCCCAGACTCAGATTCACTGTTATTAGTACTACTGTTGATGTCATCACCAGTGCTAGAACTACTGCCCCTAAAACAAGAGGTACCACTACTGCTTTTTTTACAACTCACAGCGTCCTTTGACGGTTTGCGAGATGCGCCTCCATCGATTTGCTTGGTGATAGTCTCCTGGGAGATAGGCTGCTGCCAGACAGAAGGCTTCTGCAGCTGTGAGCATTGATGATTGCCCTCAGAGAGTGTTTGTGTGCGACTAGCCTCCAGCTGGTCCCTCAGGTGGCTTCCTGTGTGCAGGGCCCCCACACAATTTGTGACAGATGAATCTTCACATGATTCCTCGCCAGGATCGTTGTTCTTCCGACTTGAAACAGAGTGATGATGGCTAATCACGTACCCTCCCGTATCGCCCCTGCCCTGTGCTGCCAGATCTTCTCCCACTAACTCTAGGCTTGAAGTAGGTGGAGGGGGTCCCAACTTAGAATCCTGAACTAATAATGCCTTCTCCCTTTGTTCTTTCCAAGCCTGGAATCGCATTTCAAGACGATTGTGATCCTTCTGGTAAACCCGGACTTCACTCTCATCCATTGAAGAATTGCATGTCGTCTGAACACGGTCGTCCCAAAACCGACCAGTCAAGCTTTCACTTCCGCCATAGGCACTATGGGCATCTTTGAATGATGGGACAACCTTACCCCTAGGCTCAGGAGAGAACTTGGCAGACTGAACCTTCTCGGCTTTTAGGGCAGATTGAAGCATTTCGGCTCTAAGGGTCCATCGAGTGATCCTTTCTCTTCCCCATTTCCTCCTTCGCTCCTCCTCCTCCTCTTCTTCTTTCTTCTCCTCTAAGCCTTTCAACATCTTGTGTGTGTTATTGGTACAACAATCATTGTCATAAGTTGAACTTGCCTCCTCCCTTGGGAAAGGAGTGCTACGATCACAGGACCTATCGTCCATGTCCCTGGCATTAGGTTTCTCCCCTAGGGTAGGTGGAGCAAGAAGTACATCCTCTTTCGTCAAACTACTAAGATCTCGACTCAAAGCGTTTCCACCAGCAGGAACAGGAATGGCAAGCCGCAATCTCTCTTCCCTAGGACCAGCCAAGCCATCAGTACCAGCGTGTGACAGAGCATTGGTCATTACATCATAAGTGGTATCCCTCTGTGGAGCAGTAGCCCGGTAGGGAGACCACAACGAGGAGCTTCGACTTTGATCCTTGGAGGGAATACGCATATGTCTTGGACTCTTGTCATTCTTGCGCACTGATGAACAAGGTGATTGAGCAGCGCTTGCGGCACACCTTGACTGAACTGCTGATGAGGAGACCATCGAAGAGGTGGGAGAAGAAGAAAAAGAAGCAGACGCAGAAAGGGACAGCGATGGCGAGGAGGAAAAGCCTGGGCGGGCCCAAGCCGATATTGGACCCAGTTGCCACGCCTCCCACTCCTCCTCACCAGCAACATCCTGTTGTTTACTGAGTCCACTGCCAGCTATCTTTTCCCTCTCTGGAGGTGCACAGTGGGGGCAAGGTGCTCTCAGACCCTCTTTCTCCAGCTTCCGACTCTTACTTTCGCGGAGGGCACCCTCAAGCCAGCCTGTGCTTTCCGCGACCACCCCCGTACTACCATTCCTGAAGAAACTACCGTTTCTCGACTTGGGTGTACTCCGCCTCGAAACGTTCCCCTCCTTTTCGTTGTGTAGCATCTGTTGAACCTCATGAGAAGAGTCAGACGTCCAGTCAGAAGACGTTTTGGATGCCTCAACGCCGCTTCCAACCGGTCCCTTGTCCCGGTTACCGGAGTAGTGTTCCAACCTACTGGCTTCTTGATCACGATCCCGAACTGCAGACAGCTTACTTTCACGCCGCTTGTCATCCTCCTCTCCCTCCTCCTTCCTCTCCCCTCCTCCATCTCCTCCATCTCCTCCATCTCCTTTGTCCCTCGATATCCAAATCGACACCTTCTCCCAAGCGTCAAATCCTGCCTTTGACAATCCCCCTCCACTCAAAGGGGGGTGATTTATTGTTTCTTCCCAGCCACTACAACTGTCACTGCTGCCCTGCTCATCGTCTCTGGAGTTCGTTCCCATCTTATTACCAAGGCTTGATTTGGCACACTGAGTTTGGGGTGGCAGCGATTCAAACTCCTGCCCAGTGTCTTCTCCCTTACTCCCATCCTTCTTCTCCCTATCCATCCAAGCTGAGACCTTTTCCCATGCATTTTGTCCTTTCTGTGAAACGATGTGCGAATTTTGTTCGTCCTCCCGATCACTGTCGTGCAAATTTTGTCCTTCCTCCCAATCATTGTCATCAACAAAGATGGCTCCTTCGTCAGGCAAAGACCACTGGCTGCCACTTCTGGACAATGAAGAGACACCTTCACTAACTCCCCCTACCACTGACCTCCTGTCCGGGGATTGGTTCCAGCGCTTTGTTGGCTTCTTAACGCTCACTGAAGCTCTTCCAGATTGAGGTTCACATCCATGTTCACCTCCAGCAGCAGCAGCAGGAGCAGTGGTCACAGGCACTCTGCGTAGTGGCAATGGAGGAGGAGGAGGAGGAGGAGGAGCAGCAGCAGGAGGGGGAGGAGGAGAAGGAGCACATGGAGGAGGACGAAGGGGGGGGGGAGTAGGAGGAGGAGGAGAAGGAGGAAAAGGAGGAGGAAGGGCGACAGGGAGAGGAGAAGCAGGTATCTTCCAACAACCGTAATCCTCCCCAGACGTGCTGCTCATCACCTCCTCGTCTTCATTGTCGGGAGCTACGGACGATATATCACTGAATGGCAAGCACTCGTCATGATGACGGTGGTGTCGTCGGGTACTAGTTCCACGTTTACTCCTCCTAGTACAGTCTCTGTTGACGTCTCCCTTTCTCTGCCTTCCTCCACATAAAGCTAAGACTTCTGGACTGAACCTCATGCCCTTTTGTCTGCTCAATTTCCTCAACTCAATCCTTTCTGCTGCGGGGGATGAGCCATATCTGCCTATGTCGCCATGAGCCTCTCCTCTGTCATAATTCTTGTTTTCGTCTGTCAAAATCTGTTGTTGCCGCCACTGCGCACAGACAGGAGGAGGAGGAGGAGGAGGAGGAGGAGGAGGTTGAGAGATGTGATCGTTCCTTTCCACCTCCTTTTGGACCGCTTGTCCCTCTTCCACTTTATCACCTCCTCGTCTTCCACCAGCAGACGAAGACGATCGCCATAAGGCATCACCTTCCGACCTGCGCTGGAGCTCCTTGCCATTTTCGCCGTCTACAAGATCACCTCTTTTCTTCTTCTTCTTCTTCGTCGTCTTCTTCTCCCTCTCCCATCTCCGGTTCTTTTCTTTCTCGACTGGGGGGGAGCAGGGAGATGAGCAGGGGGAACTTGCACATTGTTCATCTAATGGAGCGCATAAACATGTGCAGGCTTTTCGCCGGCTCTTTCCTCGTCTTCTTTCTCCACCTCTCCCATCCTCCTCCTCCGGCATGTGAGACCAGCCGTGATACACTGCTTCTTCTCTGTAGTGGAGGAAGACCTGCTCTCTCCCTCTCTGTCTTTCCTCCCCTACAAAATCTTTCAGGGTGTTTGTCCTCCACAGTACGTCTCCCACACCCTTTCCCAACTATCTATCTCCCGTTACACCTTTCGCCCTCCAAATCTCTTACTCTTACTGTCATCCTCCTTCTCCTTCCCTCCCTGTCTTCCTGCCTCTTTTCCACACTTGGGTGACTTGGTCTCTGATTACCCGTCGCTGACATGTGTTCTGCATGCCTCTCAACCACACAACCCTGCACAGAGGTGACAGCATCAATCAATGGTTAACAAGCTGCCAACATCTTTGTTCCACAATCCCATCTCCAAAGACGAGGAAGATGACCAACACTGACAACAACAAGGATGGAGATGAGGCATTGAGAATGATGCAATCAGACTCACTCTCTTTTCCACTTTGCATGCATGTAAACAGGTAGCACACCAAACTGGCGACAAGCGCCCACTCAAAGCTCAGAGATATGGCAACCAAGAATACAGCTCAGATACAAGCTCACTTCCGATGGCTATGGCGCATCAACGCCTGTACAACTCTCTGTTCGTCACTGTACTCAACTCCCCTGTTCACACACACTCATCTCAAGATCACCCTGGATATCCCACACGCAACACACTGTACACACACGCTACACTCTTCTTCCAGCTATGGCGGCTATGGCCGCTACTACCTCTACCCCTATGGCTAAGCTCTCCTTCGGCCCCCTTCGTCTTCGGGCATACTGCAGACCACCTCGCACAAGTTGCTGTGGCAGTGCTTCCGCATGGCTTCCGCAGGCATGAATGAATGGCTGGGCGCTGCCTCTTGATTTATACTTCTGTAACTCGTTGGTCTGCCCCTTCCCCATGCCCGTGGTGCACACAGTCCCATACGGTACTTGCTTGACTGGACTAGGACTGACTGGGACTGGTACCGCTGACTCAGCACAGGTGGACTCCACCACTTGCCCACTTGCCTCTGGACTACTGTGAGCAACGTGTGAAGGGTGACTTCCGGAGCTTCTGGAAGTCTGTAATCTTGGCCCTTTGTCACTGTAACAGCTACAACCTTGACCCTTCAGGACTGTAGCAGCTACGACCTTGACCTTTCAGAAGTCCTACAGCAACTACTTCTAGGACCTACTAAGACCTACAAACAACAGGTCTACGGCTCAAACCCCTACAACCTACGGACCTACGACAGCTTACTAACTGCTGCGGATACACAGGTCACGGGTTCAACTCTCGGGGTCGACACAGATACTGTACACAGGTAAGGTGAGGACTAGGGATCGAGCCCTGGGGTCTGCATCCGCTATTGCGAACACGTGAATACCGTTTCAATGACTATGACAAGAAAAAAAAGCAGGTGTGGCAGGAATGAGGAGTATGACACAAAGGCCTCCCGCCGAAACAGGTCCGGTCCGAATCAATTTCAAGATAAGAGATGTGGGGGAAGGACACAGAGAGCATTGATGTAGTAGCAACAAGCTAACTTAAGGCAGGGGTGGGAAAAAAAAAAAAAAAAAAGGGCAGGGGTGAGGGGAGGGGAGGGGAGGGGAGGTAAAGTCTTCCGGAACGAAAGTAATCAATGTGCTGATGGGCCGCCCACTCGGGTCTCTGTAATGGGGGGGAAGCGTTTTGAGTGCGTTGTAAAACGGTTGGATTTTGTAATCTTTTCTGACTTGCCGGTGGAATAGGAACCGGACTGATGCTCCCCAAAATGAATAAGGAGCCAGGGCCATACAGCCCTGTTTGGCAGTGTTTGTTTGTTTGTTTGTTTGTTTGTTTGTTTGTTTGTTCGTTTGTTTGTTTGTTTGTTTGTTTGTTTGTTTGTTTTGTCAAGGAGGAGTATGACTCCCACACTTGTCGCACTACACAATTTTTTCTTCTCTTCCCCCCCTCCCCCCCTTTCTCTCCCTCCTCCTTCCCATCCATCCCTCCATCCCTCTATCCCTCACTCCTTCACTCCCTGCCTATAATTAAAGTAAAAGCACGCAGGCTTCGGAAAGGCGACTTGGATGAACAAAGATGATGGGGATATTTCTAAAAGCACTTTCTGAGCCCATGTCTCATAAGTCCATTTTATGAATTTCTGTTCGTTGAGGGAGAGCACCACTTTGAAATAACAATTTTCAAATTTCGTATTGTACTATTTTGACTATAACGATGTATGGCTTGCAAAATCAGGATTTCACTTGATGTGATGCTTTTCAACAGGGTAAGAGTTGGCCTGTATAACGGGAATTCTTCTTTGGATTAATGTCCCAACTTCCCTTCCATCCAGCTAGTTTTTGGTTCAACCTCATCAAGACAGCTCTAGTAGAGGTCGCTGGTTTAAAAAAGGAAAAGAAAAAGAAAAAGAAAAAGAAAAAGAAAAAGAAAAAGAAAAAGAAAAAGAAAAAGACAGCTAAGGCTGTGGATTACTTTGATGACAAACAAACACCACCGATGAGCAAGAGACGCAAAGAGAGGCAAAGGAGATCACTGAAATTATGGAGAACAGAAGCGGATGCCACAGGATCTGCAAACGCGCAAGCGACGAGCTGCAGACACTGGAAAACACACGCAGCAGCACGCCTCTCGCTGAGGTTCATCTGTGGGACAAAGTGGATGGATATGTGGGACAAAGCGGATGGATCCGTGGGACAAAGCGGAAGATCAGAATTCCTGTAAACAATCGGCTGAGGTGAAACCGAACAAACACCGCCGTCTCTGCTTCGCCCGAATAGAACGCTCTGTCATTATAGCTGTATCTGCATGGAATGTTGACTGAATACAGCTATAATGACCGGGCATTCTCTTCGGGTGAAGAGAGTAGCAGACACTCTGGAAGAAGACCCTCTAGCAGAGAAACACCTGCACCTACTTGGCAATCAACTCATGAGATAGGATGATAGACATCTCAAAATCACAAATGTAGGCGATCCAAGGGTGTTACAGCGAGGGTGGCGATCTCATTTTATATTAGTATGAATTAGTATTAGTGTTAAAACAATATATTGTATTTTTTTATTTATTTTTTTAATTTGGACCATTTCTCGATTTATGCGTGTCATCCTTGCGCAGGGGCCATGCTAATCTTCTCTGTATCGTTCCAATTTTAACGGATGTCCCGAAGGACTAAAACAATATATTGTACATATATGATATTTTGTAAAAATATGTATAGCAACACTATCAAATAAGTTTGTGGGTTACAGACATAGCTCATCACCATCTTGCTATTGCTACGTTATTTATTAATGCAGGTCATATGTACCGTACAAACTTTGGGATTGGCCATAGTATAAAAGAAATAGTAGAAGCTCATACACCTCCTGGAGGAAGACTTCAATAAGTAAATAAAATATAATCTATTATCTACCCAAAATGAAATAAACTTTAATAAAGTCCCAAAGACCTAAATGGTAATAAATATGGTTAACCCGATTAACATAACAAAAGCATAATGGTACACAAAGCCACTTTGAAGTGTACATTCAAAAATTGATGTTTTTGCTCATATTGAATGAAAAATTTAACAATATGAGAATATAGTAATATACATACAGATAATATAATTATTAAGTTAATAATAGAATATCCTTCTCTCAAGGGCTTTGGGGATACTCTGGATTGCGGAGTGGTTTTTCTCAGATTTGCTCATGACTACAGTCGGCCGAAGACGCGTACTGGCCCCACAATTTTGGATGCATTGACTTTGGGACGATGGACCCAGTTTGCAGCAGGTGTAGTTCCCCACCAGCGGTGGGGGGTTGCTAGGTGGGGGTGCTCGTATCACCCTATATAGCAGCACCCAGACCCTGGTCTTCAAAAAAAAAAAGAAAAAAAAAAGAGAAGAGCGATCAATGGTGTCATTCCTACAACCACACTGGCTGGTGGAGAAGGAACCAAACTGACACTCCCTGTAATAGAAACAAAAAAAGAAAGAAAACAGCAGCCTTCTATTTTTTTTTTTTTTAACACAAGACAAAGCACTGTAACAGCAGCCTTATGGGATAAATCTCTGTTTTCTGTTTATTTTTTATTATAGGACTGACCCGTGTCTCGCAGAAGGAGTCCATGGGCCCACACGAGACCCGAGGCGGAGGTGGGACTCGGCACCATGGAGCAGCGGCATTCGTCTGTTTGTTGTGTGTTGTTTTCTGGGCAGGTGTGAGTATACAAAAGCAGGCACCTGTTTTGTTTGTCGGTTTTCTGGTAGATGTTTGTTTGAAGACCCGCTCGGACCGTTTGTCGCTATTTTGGTAGAGGTTCGACCCAGGCCTCACCCCACCACTCACCACACATGCAAGTAGAAATTAATACTCCTGAAGAATATGGAAATATTCAAATATAGTATATACTATATAGTATATACACAGCCACAAGTCTTGTGTTTGTGCATTTGGTGAGTGTGCAGCGAGGGCCCTACAAGTACGTAGCTGGCCTGCATGGATCCGTTTTGTTGTTCGTCGTCATTTTGGTAGACGTTCGAACACAACTACATAGCAAGGGTTTTGACGGGATGCTTAGCAGGCCCCTTTTTTTTTTTTTTGGGGTTACTTTATGGACTATTTCTCGATTTATGTGTGTCATCCTTGCGCAGGGGCTATGGTTCCAATATTAACGGATTTGTTTTTTAGTTTTCTGCCCCAAGCGCATGTAGAACCACCCATGTAGCATAGCCCACCTACCCCACAGAGCCCACACTGTCACTGTACCGGCCAGCGCAGGTAGTACCGTCCAGTCAACATACGATGACCCACCCCATGTGGCAACGCCCAACCCAAACAGTATCCCATGGGCCACAAAATACCGCCCAGCCCACAGAGTGCCACCCAGTCCACATAGTATGCCATGCCCCACATGCTGCCACCCGATCTGCTTATTATCACCCATGGCCACGGCAGAGGCCACATTTGATCTATATTCCGAATGATGTTTGAGGCCGGGGATCTCACATTCGGCCCGGGGTTATCTCTGGAGCTTCACCCAGTTTTACGAGCAACTGCTCGCCACGAAATCTCTTCAACATGCCTAATCATATGTACCCTAACTGTGACCTTCTATACTCCTCTCAGCTACTCTAGCTGTGGGCTATTCTTGA